ATAAGGCAGTCTCAACTTAATTTCCCTATCTTGAAGTCCGTGCCAGCTGAATAAAGCCCATCATAGATTGACCCAGATGTTGCTATTCTGCCCGACCGGCTTTCATTGGCTGCTATGTCATGCAATAGATAAGGCCTTCCAACTTAACTTTCCTATCTTGAAGTCCATGAGTACAGCTGATCTAAATGTATGCTTATATGTCTGTCGTACTGGTGGCTGCTTGTTCTTTGTGTACCTGGCCTCAGTCCTCTCTCCTCCTGCCTGATTACACATCCTTTCTGGTGTTTGTGCTGGGAGGAAAAGAGGCTATTTTTTTTTCTTCTTTTTCTTCTTCTTTTTTTTTTTTTTTTTTTTTTTTTTAAAGACAAAAAAGTGTGGTCATATCTGACAGCAGTGATTGCTGTCCCGATGTGATGCTTACATTTGCTTCCCATCTCTGAGATCTGTAGAAGTTCACCCCGATGATTGGGATTGCTCATCCTACCGTCTTCACCCGAATAGAACGCCCGGTCATTAAAACTGTATTTGGCACAACTTTCAGCCCATATACGGCGATAATTACCGGGTGTTCTATTCGGGTGAAGGCAGTAGGGTTTTACAAATCCCCTCCAGGAAATCTCAATCAGGATCCATAATAAGCATATACCATTCGGATCGAATCGAATCGGTTCGATATTACAAAAAAGAAGACAATGGGTACTGTTCGATTGTACGGAAGCACTCAGGCCTTTTCTGTCAAAGGAGTTGAAACTTGAAAGGTGGCTATAGTAGTAATAGTATTCTTTCTGTTCTTCTCCATTTACTTGCCGTCGAATTCAGCACTACATCTCTCTTCAGCTTTGTAGGGGTCACCAGGTGCAGGGAAACATCGAGGCTGTGGTCTGAAGCATGTCTGTCTGGATCTTGGAGTAGGTTTGAACACCGCTGAAAGTCATCTGATGATTTCTGGTGAAGAGAGGGAAGGGTTAGTTGGAAGGCGAAACGTGTAAGCAAACCAAAAAGTAACAGAAAGAAAAAAGAGAAACAGAAGAGGTTTGAGCGAGAGGCCTGTGTAAGTGCTTGCGAAGGTGGGGCCGGCGGACAGGTATTTGTATTTAGTGTCTGGGGCTGCACAAGTGTTTGGCAGAGTTGCAGGAGATCCATTGCCGAGTTGATATTCCCCTTTTCTGTGTGCTTTTGTTGAAGGTTTGCGGATGCGGAATGAGGAGGAGGAGGAGGAGGAGGAGGAGGAGTTATGAGGACCTCCTCATGCCTGACACTGCGGGTCATAAAACTGTTTGGCAGAGGTGCAGGGCATGAATTCAACTTCACAAGTGATGTCTCCTTTCTGTGCGTCTGTTGAAGGCTTCCAGAGTCTGCCGAGTGTGAAGGAGTCGGCGTCAGGAGGTACTCGTGCCTGACATGGCAGGTGGCAGACCGGCTTGGCAGAATCTGCGGGCTTGGGTCGCCATTATAACTCCGCGGCGTGCTTCTGCAGGGGGTGCACGGACTGCAATGTGCAAGAGAGGTGGTTTCGGTTTTCGATACGAGCGACGGATGTTGCATTGAAGGGGAAGCGGTCGAATTGGACCTTGTAAGGCGTCCGACGGTCGTCTCCCCTCTGCTAGGGGTGGTAAGGAATTAGATTGTGGTGGTGGTGGTGCTGCTGCTGAACATACGTTGGAGCCGGCCGTGACTAATCGATCCTCATGACCCAGTGCCAATCGTAACATTATTTCCTTCATGGAGACCCTCATTGAACTGTGTATAAAGGCTGTGGCCAGGCTCTACCTGAGTGGTAGGTAGCAATACAAATAGGGAACCCAACCTGCACCCCAGAAATTGATTGGGCATATGAAAAAAAGGAGGGAGACTGCCGAGTTCGAATCCAGATACAATCAGACGACCACAACAAAATCATTCTGAATTACCTGGGGCTGGTCCGTTCAATCATGATATCTCGAGGCCGTCACCCTTTAAGGGAAAAAAGAACAAAACAAACAGAAAGAGCCTCCTCAGGGTTGTCCTTTGGGACATCTGTTACCTTTCAGATTCTGCCAAATTTTAACTGCCATGGCAGACACAATTGTGTGTGTGTGTGTGTGTGTGTGTGTGTGTGTGTGTGTGTGTGTGTGTGTGTGTTTTGTTAACCCCAAAGCCGTTCTCAGAAAGTGGCAAACAGGACAAGGTCATGCAATTGATTGAGGAAAAGCGTATCTAGGAGCGCTCTTTTGGCCCCTGATTGAGGAAGAAGGGTTGGAATCAAAATAGCCAGTACCTGATTGGAAAGCCAGTTTCAAATCCCCCCTTTGCCCCTCTTCTTTATCTCCCACCTTCCCTTCTCCCGTTTCCTCTCTCTCTCTCTCTCTCTCTCTCTCTCTCTCTCTCTCTCTCTCTCTCTCTCTCTCTCTCTCTCTCTCTCTCTCTCTCTCTCTGCATGTCCACTGTTTTTGTCTCACCCCCTTCTTGTCTTAGGAGACAGCTGGCGGTCGCCAGAATGTCTGATGTCTGTTACGATGCGACATCGGAAAACCAGCAGAGTTTTTCTTGTTTTCCAACTTTCCCCCCCTTTTTTTTTCTCTTCTTTTGTTTGTTTGTTTGTTTTAAAAGGGCAACGCCCTTGAGATATCATATCATTTGTACCTGACCGGCCCTACCTAGGTAACTCTGAATAATTGCAGTACTTTACTCGACTGCTTCATCTGCTCCCAGTGGAGTTCGAACTCAGCTGAACTACCGGTGTCTGTATTTCAACAGCTCAGTTCAGTTCAGTTCAGTTCAGGGGGGGTGTACCAACTGAGCTACCGGTAGGTCAGTTGGTAAACCAGCAGAGTTTGAAGTTGGAAGGAAGACCAAATCCCTCATCACGATCGATATGTTTTTCACAAAGTAAATCAAACGAACACTGCATGCCCCTCCCCTTGTCCTTTGCCCAACATTCGGTCAGCAGAAGTCAGTCCTATATTGACCACAAACCACGGTTACTGTGAATCTGGACGAAATGCCCGTCTCGATACCGGACCGTCAAAGGGGGGCCGCTGAGTCCAGACGTCTGGATCTGATCCTGACGAGGTGCGCTTAAAGACGTGGTTTATTAAACTTTATTTACGTCCTGAAAAATTTTGCCTCTCAAATTCCGATGTGAATTTCAAAACGACCCTCAGCCAAAAGTCGTCTGTATTGCTAACTTGTGACGCTGCTCAAACCTATCTTTTTCAAGGTGTTTTTTTTTTCCCTTTTCCAAGTTTCTCCCCCCATTGTTTTTAATTTTGTTTTCTGAAAAATCGAGTTTGTGATGCTTTTCAAACTTGCACACTTCGAAGGAAAGAAAAAATTTCACACTTCGACTTTAGTGTTCTGTGATCCTGCTGGCGATACTTGCGACTATCCTTGCCGATTGTTTTTTTCTTTCCCCCCCCCCTGGGGATCCCCCCCCAAAGAATTTGGACCAGTTCTCGATTTATGCGTGTCATCCTTGCTCAGGGGCCATGCTAATCTTCATTCTCTGTATCGTTCCAATTTTAACGGATGTCCCGAAGGGACTGATGTGTGTTTTTTGGGTCTCCCTGTTGTCACCTTGCACTTGGTTCAAACCGTTTTCAACTCTGATTGGCTGCTGGGTTTCATGTGCAGTATTAAGTTACTATTAACCACAATTAATTGGGCTGTTATCATACTTTATTATTTTGAGGTTTGGAATCTTGGATGTTATGATAATTCATTTATTTGAGGTACTTCAACTTCTGTTGTCTTTTTCTTTTTGTTATTTGGGCAATCGTTTTCTTGTCTTGTGCAGAAATTCTACCGCTCCTAAGTCTGAAGCTTTTGCCGCCAGAGCTTGTAGCCCATGTCCTGACTTATTTCTCTCCGGTCATGCTGCTGAAGGTGGAGCAGCAGTTTGTCGATCTGCCGCTTCCTCGCATGAGGTACAAGAGTGGAACTTGTCGATGACAGCTCACAACGACTGAGTTGTTGCACGGAATGCCCGATCCCGATCCCGATCCCGATCCCGATCCCGACCCCAACCCCGATCCCGATCCCAATCCCAATCCCTAAACCGTACACCCTAAAGGGCCTAAACCCTTAAGAACATTGTGTAGCTGCTGTTAAACCATATCAGTGCATGCAAGCTGCTTTTTTCCAATGCGGATTTCTGCGGTGCGTGACCGTGCGTCCAAAAAAGAACTGAAACGGTGTGGGAGTGAAATTGCCAGTTGCCACCAGCCTTTCCGTCCGTGGCAGGCCCGATCATGGTTTTGCGCTGGCTAACCTGTTCACGTTGCAACAAAGATAGCCGGGAAGCGCACTGGTGGTTTAACAGAGAGAACCCACCTGTTCGTTCACATACATCTCAGTGGAAGTCGGTTTTGCCGGCGTTCAGTTTGTAACTTTGTAAATGTTTTTGCCACTGTGTAGCAGTGTGTAGCAATTTGTATTTATTATCAGAAAAAAGAGAAGTTACGGTGACTTGAATGCCACCGTGTATCCATCTATGTGCAGCCATCTGTCTCTTTGTATTGTTGTTAGATCTCTCTCTTTGTATTATCAAAAGACAGTCAGTACAGCTCTAAAATGTTGAATACCTCTCTCTCTCTCTCTCTCTCTCTCTCTCTCTCTCTCTCTCTCTCTCTCTCTCTCTCTCTNTCTTATACACATCTAGATGTGTATAAGAGACAGCTATATGAGAATTCGGATTTATTAATGAAAAATCATGGCGGCCTCAACTCTTCCCAGGTATCTCTCTCTCTCTCTCTCTCTCTCTCTCTCTCTCTCTCTCTCTCTCTCTCTCTCTCTCTCTCTCTCTCTCTCTCTCTCTCTCAACTACGTTATGTTCGAAGACTGCAAAGGAAATGCCTTCAAGATGTGTATGTGTGTGTGTGTGTGTGTGTGTGTGTGTGTGTGCGTGTGTGTGTGAATTAGGTTATGTTCCAAGGCTGCAAATCCCTTCAAGATTAAGGCAAACTGCATGGAAATCGTTGGAAAAGTTTGACTAGAAGGGGCCTACAAGGCTGCATGTGACTCTCATGCCAATCCTTGTTGTTGGGCTGGTAGATGGTAGACGCTTATGTCAATCCTTGCTGTGCATCTGGCCGTGATGACAAACAGATACATTGGAAGATGCTTATTGATATGAAGCTATAGCTTTGCACCAGCGATTGGCACACTGTGAAACTGCAGGCAGGCTTTACAATGACCTCTCTGCCTTGCATGTTGTATAATTTGGTTGTTTTCTGCAGGCAAAGTGACTGCCCATTGACACTCCCTCCGACAAAGCGTCCGAAGCACCGTCATCCTCAAGCTCCAGCTCCAGCTCGCACCGAACTGCCATCAGATTCTCTCTCTTCACAAACTCCTAGTCAAAGCGCCTTTTTTTGTTCTAATGGGACCGCAGAGGCAAGTCAACAATGTCCCAGTTCTCAGCAGCAAGGAGGCAATTCTCCAACAGGAAAAGGAGGTGGGTATGTCTCCCTCTCCCTCCCATTCTTCAAGTTTCCTTTTTGAGGTGTGTCTCCCATTCTTGAAGTTTCCCTTTTGAGGTGTCTCTCCCTTCCTTCATGTTTCCTTTTTCAGGTATCTACTTCCCTTCAAGTTTCCTTTTTCAGATGTGTCTCCCTTTCCAAGCCCTGCCAAATTGCCGGAAAATCCTTACCAGGTCCCTCTCCAATTCTACTTATGTCCCTACCTTGTCCCTGTCCGAGGCACAGCCACACACACACACACGGCCAACAGAATGAGCACACGGACCCAGACTTGGACGCAGGCAAGGATTGACTGTCAGCTTGCCATTCAGTTCTCTGTGTGTCTGGCTGTGCCCAAGTCTGCGCCACTCTTCTCATACCCTCCTTCCCCACAGTCTGTCAATTAGAACCGTACGTGCAGGACTGAGTTTGGCAGTCTCTGAAGCTCGGGCTGCTCGGCTTTAACTTGTGGTCTCTAGAAGGAGATTGCAGCAGCCTGTATCTTATGTCCAAATGGGATCCCGGGACTCGTGCTGTTGGCTATCTTGTCTTGCCGTGAATGGGTCCGAGTTGTCCCAGTCTCCCCATTTCATGCCGATGTAATATGTATTGTGGCCAGATTTTGACCATAGCATCGCCGCCTTCGGTATGTACTATTAAGTCATACCATGTCAATTCCGGCTTGCTGAAATCAGAGGGATGTTAGTCCAAAGCAATATCTGGATGAGGAGGAGTTCAGGGAGGAACAAGAGAAAGAGAATAATCTGCTTCAGTGGTCAGCAGCTCTAGCTCCCAATACAGGGTTGCTTCTTTACACCTGATGAAGCAGTGGAATTGGTTTCTTCTTCTTCTTCTTCTTCTTCTTCTTCTTCTTCTTCTTCTTCTTCTTCTTCTTCTTCCACTCTCTTTCATTTGAGTTGCAATTGAATGGCATGGTAAAATGATATGAATTCACTAACATTTTTAACATAGCCAAACGAAAGGAAAAAAGAAGGAAGGAAATAAATAAGAATAGCGGTTGTGTATATTATTATATTCTCTTTGTGAATTTTGCATTGGGAGCTGACCAGGATTATAGCACAAGCTAAGTTGACAAGTTTCCAGTCGGCTAGAGTGTTGACGAGGGTGGGTTGCGTTCAGCGGAAGACGGTCGGGAATTTTCAATTTTTTTAATTTTGTTTCCCAAATTGCATGTGATGTCCTGTTATTGAGTTGCAAAGAAATCAGTGGGAAGTTAGATGAGAACAAATGCCCACTGATTGCAGGATCAAGGGTAGTGAGGGCATACTCACACTAGAACCTTTCTAGTGAGCTCTGAAAGTAATTGCTTTCAGATTCACCCCATGGCATGCCGTAATCGCGGTCAGATACATCTGAGGAAAGTTCTAGTGTGAGTAAGCTCTGAAAGGCGCTGATACCCTTTCCTTTCCTTTTCTTTTTTTGCAGCTAGTGTTGAGATTCCTTTGTACGGAGAGTCGATCGTTGGATCGGAAGGCAGGATCAAGGATACTGAGCGCATACTCACAGTAGGATTGTGTCTACTCAGCTCTGGACGCAATTGTGGTTAGATACACCCACAGTGGGCCGTAATTGCAGTCAGATGCATCCAGAGAAGGGCTAGTGTGAGTACGGTTTGCGAGGTACTGATACCTTTATCTTTTTAGCAGTTATTTTTGTTGAGATTTGTTTGCAAGTGTTGACGAACGAAGAATTCGTCGTTGGGACCCTTTGGGACACACCCATTAGAAGTGTAATGGTACCAGAGAAGATTAATATGGCCCCTGCGCAAGGATGACACACCTATATATATATCGAGGAAAAAATGGTCCACAAATTCTTAATAAAAATCGAAACAGGAGTTCGTCATTGGATATGGCCACTGTTGCTGTGTGTTGTCCGTGCAGCCGACAAGTCTGCCATGTCTCTTTCTCTTTCCAGAAAACGACAAAATGGAGGAAGAAAGATGCTTGGCGCGGCCAACAAGAACTCTGAGATTTCTTCATGTTTGCTATACACAACTCCACACACAAAGAAAAAGGTATGACTGTGCCAGCCTGTTTCATCAGACTGTTGCTATGTGTGACTAAACAGCAGAACTAAGAAGAAGAAGAAGAGAACCTTTGGAGAGACTTAGGGTTCCGGCTGAAGGGGATTGCGCTCAATCTGAATGTTGCTCAGGGGTGCCGATCTCGTCAGAGTCAGAGGAGGAAGCGGGTCGGACGATAACAAGCGTTAACTTTTCCAAGGAGAGGAATGGAGATGACTGGCTGAGGCCTTTGCTATCAAAGGCCTGGAAGGGGTTGGTGCAAATCAGATGGCCTCCAAGGAACACTGAAGATAAGCAAGGGGGGGAGCTCATCAGCCATTCTTGGGAAAATAGCTTCTTCAGACTGGAAAATGAGTTGGAAAGTAATGCCGATTGGAAGAGTGTGTACCTCGAGCGACACTTGCAAGAGTGAGTTATGCAGGGTGTCCCTTTCTCTTTTTTTTTTTTTTGTTTTGTTTTCAATTTACAGCATGGTAACCCCGGACCCGGACACCGGACACTTCCGGACTGTCTTCTGGACTGTCCGGTGATCCGGACATCACCGGACAGTCCGGACTGGTGCCGGGGTTGCAAAAAAATGTCCGGACCGAAGGGAAAAAAGAAAAAAGAAAAAAAGGGAGGGGGGTGGGGTTGGGGGTGGGGGTGGGCGGGGGTGTTGGCAGGCACTCCCCTGCTTTGCACTTTGTAGTTCAGGCAACAGAGCACCTGTCTTGCAGCAAATCAACAAAGCACATTCAACGAGCAGACATGCAGATGCAAACAGTGCAAAGCGGGCACAAGACTAAAGAAACAGAGAATTTTTTTTTGAAAAACGTATGATTAACTTTGAACTTTGAACTTTGAACTTTGGATTTAGTAATTTAAGTTCATAACTTCATAACTTCATATATAACTTAAAGTTCGACCTTTGCAGTTCAATTCAGAACGTCGGAGTCTTCAGACTGGGAGCACTGTCAGTGCTCTCTCTCTCTCTCTCTCTCTCTCTCTCTCTCTCTCTCTCTCTCTCTCTCTCTCT